TCTGCACATATGTGTGTATTTCATTATTTTCTTTTTTGTATGTATATATTATGTGTCGTGTGTTGCGTTGTTTTAATGGGCATGATAGGCTATGTGTGTATGCAAAAAAGGTATAAATGTTTTATGTCTCTCTCGACATTACTACTAAGATCAATAGATCTACTCCTAAAAGCGGTTGGCTGCTTTAGCGCTACCCACCTCTCAAAAATAAATCATCTAATGACTGAAAAAGGCAAAAGCTACCCAACTTGCTGTTTTGGTGCTACCCGCCTCTTTAAATATAACATCATCTAAACATCCACAAAAAGGCAGAATAGCTTTAAAAAGGCAGCAAGAGATGGAAAAAAATAAGTAGAAAATTATTTACCGTCGCATCGGTAAGCTTGTTCCAATCGGGAATGACGTAGAACTCAACTCCTTCTTCAAACCCCGTCAGGGTGAGGCCTCTGATCAGCAGCACGATGAGGATGACGTAGGGGAATGTTGCAGTGAAATACACCACCTGAAGAAAAAAAGTAAGTGCTTATTACGATGAAACACAATTTTTAAAATGTTTGAATTTAGCTTTAGCAAGAGTTTTTTGTTTTGGTAGGTGTTTTACGGCGCTTGCAACACAAATAGGTCATAAAGATGAGTGCTGCGGTTTTAGAGGTGTTACTTAAGAGTGACATACAAAGAAAAGGAGAGATAAGGACGATATGTGTTATATAGGAAAGACGAAGCAAACCATGACAGAGATTCTCCCGACCACCCTTGAACGAAATGTTATAATGTTCCAAATGGTTGAAATCAGACACCAAAAAAAAAAAAGTTGAAAGATTATCCTAGGAAAAGTATATTATTATTTTAAGAATGTTCATAGAAAAACTATAGAAAAACCCCTTCTAATGATTAGAATTACACTCTCCTCCCCCCCCCCCCCCCCCCGGGAACTTTTCCTCCCTATCCCTTGCCCAAACAAACTATTTTTTTCCAGAAGGATTGGGGGGGGGGGGGGGTTAAGGGGGGGAAAATTTTTTTTTTTTTTTGATTGGACTTTTTGGGGCCCAACCCCCATTAAGGCCGAAAGGGCCCCCGGGAAACCCCCAAAATTTTTTCCTTGGGGGGAAATTTTTAATTTTGCCCGGGGGGGGGCAAATAACTTTTCTTATGGTGTTAAGAACCCCACAGAATATTAAATTGGGCATACTATAAAAAGGGCCCCCAAAATTTTTCTGCCCCGGCCCAAAAATGTGGGGGGGAGCAATGCTCACTTAAAAATCACTGGGTTGGCCAAAAAAAGACACATTTTAGTTTTGTAAAAAAAAAAGAGAAAAGCTTTAATGAAAAGCAACAACCCCCCAAGACCGAGGAAAAAATGGACAGGAGCGGGGGGTACAAAGGGAAAATGAAAGCAGACAACAGAACACCTTGTTAGAGATCAGGAAAGGATGTGAAAGGAGACAATTTTAGAGAAGAAAATTTTTTGGTCGCTACCCGGAATCGAACCCGGGACCTTTGAATGAGAGGCCAACACCTTAACCTCTAGGCCACGAGAGCCCCCAGTGGTAATGTTTACAATCTGAGTTGTATGTCACAAAAGGTGGAGGAAATTATTGAGATTTTGTTGTTGTTGCTGTTGTATGGTTTGGTTTGTTTTGTTATTTAGGTTTTGCTTTGTTTTTCGTTTTGTTTTTGTCTATTTTGCTGGGTTTTTTATTTTTGTTTTTGTTGGGTTTTTTTAAGGAAAGGGAAGGGGTAATTTGGAGACATCTGGATTGTAGGTAACAAATTATGGCTGACTTACTTTTCCTGAGGTCTTGATTCCCTTCATGAGGCAGCCAAAGATGAGAATCCAGGCGAGCAGAAGCGTAAGGATGAGTTTGAGACTTACTGGACCAATGTCATTCAAGTTAACGTTGTCAGCCTGGTTCAGGACGTAGCGTCTGTCAAAGTAGGTCCAAAGTCAGTTAATAAAGTGAAATAAATATAAAGGACAAATAAAGCATCATTGTAATGCAGTCGAACCTGTTTAAGACAACAGCTCATTGTCGAGAAGAAAATGGCCGCATTAGACAGCTGGCCGTCTTACACAGAGTAATTATAATGTAAAAAATACATAAGTGAAGAAATGAGAAAATAGCACTTACATGTACATTTGCACACGTATACAAATGTCACCTACATATGCACACCCACAAACACACACACACACACACACACACACACACACACACACACACAAACACACTCACATACACACACACACACACACATGCACACCCACAAATAAACACACACACAACGTACTCATAGTATTCCTCTGAAGGTGTGGTGTATTTAAACGCGCAATTTGTGTAGCCATCATATTCCGTGATTCGCATTGGTGTGATCACAACACTGGAGACGTTGAACTTCTTCAAGAACCCATCCAAAAATTCATCGTACATTTTACTGTAACCAGCAGCTTGATTGTAGTCATCGTAAGCAGCTGGGATCATCATGTTCTGAACGCATGTTTTATTGTAGAGGTACTCTGAAAAAAAAGCAAAATTTCGTGTAGGAAAATCAACTATAATTTGCTTTTTTTGTTGTTCCTGTTGAGTGAGTTCATCACCCTTCTATCGTTTAATGAAGGTGTTTTCTCGACCACCATGGACACAATATAGATCATTTAGGAGGCGGGCTTCCGACCTTGTCTTCCAGGGCCAACTTAAGCAGAGAAGAGTTCAGCATCCCAACAAAGAGACCGAGATAATCGATAAAAATGTTTCATCCCTTTCAGAAATCGAATTCGGGTCTCATGTGTGCGGCCAAAGATCGTTCATAACAAGGTTGTTCACTCAGCCCAAAAGTGTCCTCGGAAATCCGCGCATTGCTTCAGATGGCTCGGCAGTCTTTGTTTTGAAGCTCTCTTTCGTTTCTCCAGAAGAAGAATATGAATAGCACAGCTATTTTTAGTTTCACATTAATAGTTTTTTCACACTGTTAAGGAAACTCTGTTCGCAAAGTCCGCACTTTTTCAAAGAGGGCGCCATCGAATTTTGAGGACACTTTTTTTAATTGGATCAAAGAGAGGAGTGAACCATTTTGTTATGTATACACGATCTTTGGTGTGACACCGAAACGTCTAACTGCTTCACTACGGACGCTGGTAACGCCCTTCTGGACATTGATGTGTTGCTTTAAGGAGGAGTGTTTATCTTGCATGGTAAAGGAATCGAATAAATAAAAGGGAAAAAGAGACATTGCTTCAAGGGGGATATACTTTCATACTTTTTGAGCGTGTATGTTCCTGTCTGTGATGTCAGTGATAATGACAATAAATATGTATTGATGTTACAACGAGAAATGTGTCTTTGCATGTACGAAAGCAGTGAATACTCTTAACTCTTAGTACATAGACACTGATTCTCTCTCTCTCTCTCTCTCTCTCTCTCTCTCTCTCTCTCTCTCTCTCTCTCTC